AGGGGGTTTTTTTTTTTGTCCTTCAAGTCTGTTATGAAAAATTGCAGTGCATCATTCTTATCTGAAGAAAGCAATTTATGTTCTAAAAAAAGGCATGTTAGATCATCCACAGCTGTGGCTGCACTTGAAGGGAGAAAAATTCAAAGCTAAGCACGTGAAGTTTGGTGGAGCAATGAACTCCAACATACATCATGTCTAGAAATAACTAGTTTTCTAATGTAGAAGAAGCAATGCTTGGAACTACGAAAAGGTGTGCGAGCCAACAACGCACACAAATGGACAAAGTCCATAGAGTGAGAGAAAATTGCCAACGCAATTAGTGGCACATGGAGTTGAATGGGGACATATGTTAGAAATGGGATACATCGGAAATTTTAGTTGGAGGCCAATGATCGATTCAAGGCTTGGTTCCTTGTGACGGCAGACCAATCTCCTATGGGACGATGGAGTTTGTCTCTGCGGCGGGCTGGCAGCACTTTGCCATATCAAACAAGCGATGAGACCCACTTTCAGATGGTGAGCGGAGCTTCTCCTTGACAGGCAACAAAAAGGACGAGGTTGTGCTATTGTTTTCGAAAATTGGCATCCATGCCGCTACCCAATATCTAAATGCACATGAAGGTGCTCAGCGTCAAAAGCTCCAGAAGGCTAATCACAGTGCATAGGTGCCCCAGCCAAGCAAGCGTTCAAGATCCCATCCGAGAATACGATAGCTGGTGCTAGTTAGCCTTCCCGGTCTCATGGTGCGACTCTGGAGGCCTCCCCGCCGCCACAGCAAAAGAACTCGCCGTCGAGGAGTATGTTCGTTATTGGGTCTTATGGACTTCGGGGGAATGGACAAAATCATAAAATCAGATAGATGGTTCCTAGTTACTACTGTACTTAGTTACTACCATGTCTATGAAAGAAGGATTATGGACGGCTTTGTAAAATAAGAGAATTGGTTGTTTCCTGAATTTGTGGCAAATCTTCTCTGAAATCCCTGCATTGCAGTCATACATGTTCTTCCCCACTATAATCCATGGAGAAGCTGCTTATTGTCGGAGTGCTAAAAGCGCTAACTCTATCTGTGATTCTCTGGTCAGTGGCGAAAGCTAGGGATGGCAAGCGGCGGACGGTGGTAAAATGGACGGAAGCAGGTTTGTGCACGGTGACAAACAGCCCGCGTTATGGGGCTGTTCTCCTTTGTTCGGTTCTGTTCTGTTTTGGGACATGTGTGCCTGTTCAGTTTGAGCGGAAGAAGAAGCAAAGCGAACTTACTACCATGGTTGTCTACATCATTTCTTTCAGGAGATCGGCTTTAGTTTGCCGCAGAGCAAAATGGTGGAAGCTCGAACCTGCATTCTACTCTATAATCATGGACTGTATGTTAATCCTCCAAGGCACTGCTATTTGAGATGTTGTAAGTTTGGTGGCAGGCTGGCAGCTTCTTTTTTTTTCGTTTTTTTTTTTGAAAGATCCGGCATTGTGCTGGCATCATTGATTTAACAAAAAAGAGCGCAAACAGAGTTGATCAAGTGATCGGGTGGGCGAAAGAAGAAGAGTTACAAAGGGGCCTGAGAGGCCTCAAATCTAAGTGGATAATCTCACGTCGAGGCTCTAAACAGTTTGGGCCAGCAAGGCTCCAAAGCTCCAAATTCTGGCGAACTTTTCTGATGATCTCTGCTGCCGAGGCTGTCTTGCATCTGAAAGTGCAGCAGTTCCGCTCTTGCCAAATCTCCCAGGTGATCAGGATGATGATGGATTTGAGTGCCTTGGTAGATGTCCCCGGTTGCGCATTTTGGATGATGCGCTCTACAGCCTAGGCCGATTCCCAGTTCGCTAGCTTCAGGGTGCAAGAACGCTTGCTCCAATTTGCTGCAACCGTTCGATCGGGCGGCACAAGAACAGGTGAGGTGATGCAGAGGCCGCAGAAATATCTGTCCTGCCATCCACGGCGCTGTAGGCTGGCAGCTTTGTGGTGTGTACATGGCGAATTGGCAAGCATCGACTAACACGCGCGCACGCACACAATCAGCTCTCTGAAGCAGCCATAAACACACTGACAACTAAGCAGCTGTCTCTAACTCTGAACTAACTCTGCTCTAAAGATTATGAAAAAGATGTGAAATAGCACACCGTATTACAGTGGACTGTAAGTACACAAGGAAAACTAAAGGCTCGCGACTCCATGCTTCAGAGACGATTTGCTCAAGGACATGCCTGTTTGTTCTGCATAAAGTAAATACGATTCAGCACGAGCAATTTGAAGTTCTGCAAGTTGGAGTTCATTTTCTCCATGCTTCAGGCCTTCGAGCGGCTTATTTTCATCAGAGCTTACGGAGCAGGCAAATAAAAGAACTCCACTCCCTTGAATAGGGTAGTTACCAATTGTGTTCATCACTTGTATGCACAGGAGCGACCCTGCAAGGATATTACTGTTAGAGTTGTGTCGAATATAGTGTACAAGGTAGGTTGCAGTTGGACTTGTAGTTGTATCATGTTTAGATAGGATACGGAGTCGTGTCCAAGTAGGACACTTGTATCCTAGGCCTCTTATATATAGCGGGGCTAGACACACGACGTAACATATGCCAACATAATAGCACCGGAACGCAGGGGAAGCCGGCGGCATGTGCCGGTGTCCAGGGCGACCGGGTGCAGTATTGTAGCGATTTCATGGGGAGGAGCGCCCATAGTCAGGCCCCGGGGATGTAGCCATATCGGTGAACCTCGTTAACAAATCTCGGTGTCGTGCTCCTGTGATTGCTTGGTCCTCGGATGATCGACGGTATGCCTCGGATTTATTCTAACAAGTGGTATCATGAGCTAGGTTGTTCGGAGGTCGTGGAAGGTTGATTAAGAGGATAGCTCGTTGGCTGGTTGATTTCGTTGGTGGTGCTGATGATCGCGATTATGTGATTTGCACCGGAAGCAGCGACGGAAGATGGCGTAGCAGTCGAAGCTAGCGGCGCGGGCGTTCTGGACGAAGACTCGTCGAGATCAGATTGGTGTTGGAACCGTGCACGTGCAGCTTCGCACGAGCACAGTCAGCAGCAACGGTCAAGGCCCAGGCGTGGGGCTGGCTAAACGGCTGTGGATCGCAGGAGACAGCGGCCCATGGGTGCGGGCGTTGGGCTGTTGTGGCGGCGCAAGCAGGGACGTGTGAACCAGCCATCGGAGGAGCAATCGGGGCAACGTATACGAGATTTGTTTGGACAAAAACTATTGGCGCAAGGACCAAGAATCAGACCGTGATTGCTACTTAGAAAGGAAAGAAAGATAAGTCCATAAGCTACGTGTGATTGTATGTGGAGTGGAGTTTGACTAGCGTCATTGGTCTCCCCTGGTACGTGCATACAGGAAGGCTACATGAGACTTTATTTTTGGTCTCCTTTTGTTTGGTACACAGTTTGTGTATGGATGGCAGTTGCACTTGAGGATTCGAGGAGTCCGGAGCATGCTGAGCAGGATCATGCAAACACAGGGCGTCCAAGACATGCATAGATGTGCATGCAGTTGTGATGCAGGGTGGAGCATGATTGCAGTCGGATATGTTCGGCTGGGTCGGACTGGACAGTCTGACGGATTGACGCGAGTCGGTTGGTACAGAAGACGGTGGTGGGATCGGCGAGGATGATATAGGAGCGTGATGCTGATGGTGACCGACTTCCAGGCATGGAAACACGTGGCGCAGGCCCCGAGGGCTTGTGTGGCTTCGACAAGACTATGACGCGGGATTGATTCAAGATGGTGTATACACGAAGCTTGAAGTCGATGAGGCGCGTGGGTGGACTGATCATCTACCATGGAGTCATGTTGAAGATGGAGCTGGATTGAGGGGCTACGGTGTAAGGATCCAGAAAATCGAAGCCTATTCAGCAACGGAAAAAAGCGAGTAACACGCAGTTCGAACTGGAGCCCAGTGGTCTGATGGAAGCGTGAAACTCGTCATCGGTCAGTGGTGATCGGTGGTACTCTGCGGTGGGGGTTAAGTGGTGTGGGTTCGGGACCCTTGAGACTCGACCGGGACAGCAGAGGCTCGACGCGGCAATAGCGGCGAGGCGTGCGGTATGCACGGGACATGGAGACGGGCCAGGGCTCTGGTGGTCATACATGTGGAGAGACAACTGCGAATTTGACTCAGGATGACTACAAGCAATGGTGAAATTCCTTCAAATTTCAGACAGGCAGTCAAGAAAGGAGCGGTGATGTTGAGTTCAGGTAACTCTTATGTGTAACACCCAATATGTGAGTTGTTCACTTTCACGCAGGTTAGTGATCGGTGTGTGATGGCGTTGGACTGATACTCTGAAAGTTGGAAGCGCAAATTAGAGTAACAAGAAACTTAATTTTGCTCGAGTGTTGACTGTGGTCAAGAAAAGAAGGGACTACAAGTTGCAGGTGGAGTCACATGAAGTCTTTGGAGTAGCAGCGGTGCTCATGGGATAAGCTCAAGTCCAATGTACATGGAAGTTTGACGCATTGACAAACTCAAGGTGGTGAATATTCGCCAAGGTGGAGTTTGTTAGAGTTGTGTCGAATATAGTGTACAAGGTAGGTTGCAGTTGGACTTGTAGTTGTATCATGTTTAGATAGGATACGGAGTCGTGTCCAAGTAGGACACTTGTATCCTAGGCCTCTTATATATAGCGGGGCTAGACACACGACGTAACCTATGCCAACATAATAGCACCGGAACGTAGGGGAAGCCGGCGGCATGTGCCGGTGTCCAGGGCGACCGGGTGCGGTATTGTAGCGGTTTCATGGGGAGGAGCGCCCATAGTCAGGCCCCGGAGATGTAGCCATATCGGTGAACCTCGTTAACAAATCTCGGTGTCGTGCTCCTGTGATTGCTTGGTCCTCGAATGATCGACGGTATGCCTCGGATTTATTCTAACAATTACACACATTCAGCCCAAGAATGGTGAACATACCAAAACTGATCTTTTAGCCTACAAACTTTCAGAATCAAAGATGCCAAAAAAAAATCAAGAAACGTGCATGATATCTTCTCATCTTTATTCAGTGCTTGTGCTTGCGCAGTGAAGGAACCATATATTTCCAGGACTTTGGTTCCCATAGTTTAGGCCCTGTACATGGAAAACAAAGTCAGAATATCTTTATGAACATTAAGAGCAAGTCAAAACTTACAGAGCTATACAAATAAATAGTAGTGGGATATAGACATAAAAGAATAAAGTGTGTACGGTCACTACACAAGACAGCATACTTCCATGGTGTATTAACCTTTATCAAAATTATAGAAAATACAGATCGGCCACACATGAGGTCAATCCAAGTCAAACTTACGGAACTATACAAACAAATGATATGTCACTACATTACTTCCATTGTGTATTAGCCCTTACCAAGTTATAGAAAATATAGTTACATTCACATATGTGAACAATATTACTGTAAAACTGTACTGATATTTTTGTACATAAATACAATCACCACTGAAAATGGGATATAGAAAATGTATGTGATGGTTTAGGTGTGACGCGAGTTTATTGGATCCAAGTTAGTGGTTATCATCGTTCTGAAAGCAAACCTCCCATCTCCTTACTCGAGACATAAGAAAACTCTATTGAAAAGCTTTTTTGACATTGAATTGCAAAGACAAATAAAAAAACAGACATAACAAATGTGTTTCCAAATGTGAAAATACGAGGAGAGTTGGATAAACTTGAAACTACAGGCTGCAAGATGTACATCTGTAAACTATACAGATGGAAAAAGAGATACAAAATGGGGTAAATGAAATTGAAAGGTACCTTCACTAGGACAGCTTGAACCAGCATTAGATAGATCCTTCATTTCAAGGCTATCAAGCCGTTGTTGGAGATGTCCATAAAGTGGCTTCATATTTAAAGCTGGGCAGTATTGAATGCAGAGCTTCGTAAGTGCCGAGTAACTCCCAAGACTTCCTGGTACAGATGCCAGATGTTTGCATCTTATAAGGTATAGAGTTTCCAGTAACAGCATGTCTCCCAAACAATCCAGCGACTCCAGCCCATTGCAATCATCAATATCCAAAAATTGGAGTGCATCTAACTGCGTTGGCATGAAACGAAGGTTCTTACAACTAATTATACGCAAAAAATCAAGACATTGCAAAGGATTAATCCTGGGTGAAGGTGAATGCTCTAGCAAACATGTGGACGTGAGGTCATTGAAGTGTTCCGATGATGATGCTGCATCAAAGTGTAGTATACTCTCCAACTCTGTATCATCCTGCCCCAGTATGGACTCAAGACTATTGCAATCCAGCATATCAATACTTGTGAGAGATGGAGGGAGAACGAAAAGCTCTGTCAAACTTCCACAATGATCTATTGTTAGTTCTTTAAGATTTGGCACGAGTTGATCCCTTACTTGAGTACGGCATCCTTTCCCCTGGGTGCGGCCTACTAGCTTGCTGCAGGAATTAATGGATAAACTATTCAATGATACCAAGCAACGGAACTCTTCTTCAGGCCAGTAGATGAGCACATCACAAGATTTGAGAGTCAAATGCACAAGCTGACCAAACCATTTCCAGACCCCAACAGTTGGCTGCAATGGAGTTGAGCAGAACAAAAAGTTGCAACCATCCAACAGCAGGTTCGAAAGAGATACTTCACAATCCTGATCAAGCTCTGTTATTGGTGCTGCTTCTGTATCATCACTGACGGATAGGCCAACCCTAGACAAGCAAGACATATACCTGGCCTTCAATATTGATAAGGATAGCTGTGCCTTTTCTTCTTTTAGAGTTATAAACTTGAGTTTTGGTGCTTCAGGCAGAATTGCTAGCTTTGGGCAGTCCTTAATTTTAACATTTTCAAGCTGAGGAAATGCTAACTCTTCTCCTTCTGTTGCCACCCATCTCTCAAAAATCTCCAATTTTTTTAATCTGAGATCTTTTAATGCTGGAAATATTGCAGATGAACTATGATTGCATAGGCTTTGAAGTTTGTTCAACCTTTTCAAAACAAGAACTTCAAGGGACTTAAATTGACCAAATTGGGGAAATTCCTCACACCTTGTACAACCATCTAGCTTGAGCTCGGTCAAATGCTGCAGAAAATTAATACTTACCACCCATGCCGGGAAGCCAGTACCTCTATAGGAGCGTATTCTTAGAAACTCCAGGGCAGCATGAGGTTTAAGAGCATCAAGCACATTCCTGTGGTGGCCCAATTCATCACTGCTGTCATCACCCCATTTAAGAGATAAATGTGTAAGTTTCTCTTTATTTCCAAGGCTGCATGCTTGAGCATCTACTTCAGTTGCAAACTGAAGATGAGATAACTCTAAATCACCACCAAGATTTAAGTCCTGTAGTTCTCTAATAGTACTGCAACCAGGACTAGAGCTCACCACAAAATATGTTAGAGTCTGTAGAGAAGTGAGTTGCCCGAGGCCTGGAGGCATGCACTTCAATGATGAGCATCCATTTGTATAGAGGTGGCGGAGATTTTCCATACACTTCATATCCTCTGGCAGTCGACCAAGCCTTATGCATTTACAAAGCTTAAGAGTCTGTAGATTATACAGTATGCTTATTTCCTTGGGAAGCTCTTCAATTGACATATTCGTTGAGAGATCAAGATACCTTAGGTGCTGTAAGTGCCTTGGTTGGAGTGGAAGTTTTGGCAATTCAAAGAGTTGCAATGCTCGCAGATGATTGTACTTCGACAAGTGTGGTGCTGAGCCATAGGTCAAGCGATCCGGATACAACAGTGTCTGGAGACCGGGAGAGTGTTTCTTCAGATAATCATCCAACAGAGTTCCGATATACACATATGATGAGAACAAGTAGCGTGTAGGACCAGTGGACACTAACTCCTTTTCATTAGGCCTATCAACTATAGTAAGACAATCTTTGCCCATAACAGACAAGGCAATGTCATGCATAAGATCATGTATCTTGCATATTGTTCTAGGACGGAGCTCCCCCTCCCATTCTCTTTGAGGGATTCGCTTGACATCTTGAAAGAATGACCTCCAAGTTAACTCAACAAAAATTTCTCTACCAACCTTCTCAAGATTTTCACCTTCTTTCAATGGTATGAAATCATGTGCCATCCATAGCTGAATTAATGTTTCAACATCAATCTCATAATCTTTGGGAAATACAACACAAAAGGCAAAGCATTGTTTCAAGTGTGATGGCAAGTCATCATAGCTGAGCTTGAGTACAAGAAAAGTTTCTGTGCCCTCATTGCAAGTGTTGCTTCTGGCTAGTATGCCTGTCCATTCTTTCATGCTAGTCTTGTTACTCAACATAGATCCAAAGGCTTTGGCAGCTAAAGGAGAGCCTCCACATCTGTCCATAATCTTATCAACCACATCGCTTAGCTCAACAGCCTTTGGCTTTTGCAAACGGAATGCTCTATTTTCAAATATTTCCTTAAGAAATACTTTATCTAGTTTTCCAAGATTATGGCTATCATCAATACATGTCTTCATAATTTGAGCCACTTGTGTTTTGCGAGTGGTCGTCAGTATTGCGCTTCCCTTGGCACCATGCTTGAGGCAGGTCTTGAGTTTTTCCTACTTATCAGCATCTTCATTCCATACATCATCCAACACAATAAGGTACCTTTTTCCAGTTACTTCTTTCTGAAGGTTCCGCAATGCCTTCTCACGATTGATCTCATTGGTCTCACAGATGCTGCTTGCAATCTTAACAACGTCAAAATCATCAGACACACAACACCACCTCTGGAGCTGGAAATGCTCATTGATTCCAGGATCATTGTAGACAAGTTGAGCGAACGTGGTCTTGTCCAGTCCACCCATTCCAACAATGGGAAGGACGATGAGATCCCTGTCGCCAGCTTGATCAATCAATATATCCACGACCTTCTTCTTCTCTTCGTTTCTGGACCTGCTGACAATACCCTTCTCAGAGTCAATTATTATGGAATCTGTGTTGCGCCACTGCTTGGATGGTGGTGCTTGCTGAGTTTGGTTGAATCCAAAGTCATTCATCTCTTTGACAAGGTTCTCAATTTTGTGCATAATCTTACACAGCTTCTTGCCCATCCTGTAACGAAATGCAATGGGGTTGTGAGCAGGGAAGAGGCTTACGATGTCAAAGCCAAGCTTCTTGTAGTGTCCCTTTTTCTTGGCGTCACGCCGGAGGGCCTCATACTTGAATTCGTCGAAGACATCGTTCGCCTCATAGGCTGCCTTCTTCAGCGCTCCGAGCCAAGCACTCACTCCAGGCCGGGAAGCTCCTTTCTCCTACGCATCTTGGATGACATCCAAGATCGCCAGAAGCTTGCGCTTCAGGGTCTCGCGCTCCTCCTCCAAGCCATTCATCACCTTGTACTGGTCCAGCAGGTAGCTGGACGCCTTGTTTGTCAACATGGATACCAATGGCCTGACTACAAACTCCGCCATTTTGCTCTCACAGCTCCCAGCTCCCAGCTCACAAGAACAAACACACACACAGCCACAGGAAACACAAGTTTAACTTTCCGCCCACCTCGATGCAGATGAGAAATGGTGTGGGGTTGTGCAGATTCAGATCCAGTGCAAGTGGACAAGAGCGTGTTCACTTTCCGCCCACCTCGATGCTGTTGGTCAGCCATTTCAGTATTCATAAAGCATTCCTTCATCATATGAGAAACATTGCGGAGGCCGCCATGTGAAAGCATGTGTTTGCTCATAGAAAACATGCACCAACTGACTCCACTTGAAGTTAAGTAGTAATAGAGTGAAGTGCACTGTAGGTCCTTCAACTATTTCAGGGGTGTCACATAGGTCCTCGAACTATGAAAATCGTCATTTAGGTCCTCGAAGTACAGTAAGTGTGTCATCCAGGTCCAAAATCTCACTAACCCCCTCTAAATGGCCAGCTGGCATGGTGAACAGTGCGAAAAATAAAAAAATATGAACAAAAAAAATCTGAAAATCTTTGGCATCAAAGATACCCCTGGTGCGTGAATAGTAAAAATGTTCATTAATTCAAAAAAATGTTCGCGAATATGGGAAAAATATTCGCGACTTTAAAAAAGTTCACAAACAATAAATTTGAAAATATGTTCGCGAACCACAAATATTGTTCGTGGTATGGAAAAAATGTTCGCGAACCACAAAAATTCCTGACTTTAAAAAATGTTAGTGAACTTTTTATTAAAGTCGCAAATATTTTTTCCGAATTCATCGTTTGCGAACATTTTATTAAAGTCACGAACATTTTTTCCAAATTCATCGTTCGCGAACATTTTTTTAAAGTCATGAATATTTTTTCCAAATTCATCGTTCGCAAACTTTTTTTAAACTCGCGAATATTTTTCCCAAATTCATCGTTCGCTAACATTTTTTTAAAGTCGTGAATATTTTTTCCAAATTCATCGTTCGCGAACTTTTTTTAAACTCACGAATATTTTTTTAAAGTCGCGAATATTTTTTCCCAAATTCATCGTTCACGAACATTTTATTAAAGTCACAAATATTTTTCCAAATTCATTGTTCGCGAACTTTTTTTGAATTAATGACATTTTTACTGTTCACGTGCCAGGGTCTCTTCTATGACAGAGGATCTCAGTTTTTTGATATTTTTTTATATTTATTTTTTGTCGTGTACTGTTCATCACGCACAGGAATTCAGGACTGTTTGCCGCGTACTGTTACGGTTACTGTTTATGTGCCAGCTGGCCAGTTAGAGCCTGTCAGAGAGATTTTGGATCTGAATGACACACTTACTGCACTTTGAGGACCTAGATGACGATTTTCATAGTTCGAGGACCTACGTGACATCCTTGGAATAGTTCAAGGACCTACAGTGCACTTCACTCGTAGTAATACTATAACTTGTGCCCATCTCGTGACGAAGAGAACATACTCTTAAGGTATTATTACTGCCAACTGTGGCAACACAAGAGACTAAATGTGACTAGTGAAAAATAATTGCTTTTCTTTAGAAGGTACCTAGACGCGCTTCAACATGGAGATCATTGCCCTGAATTTTCATCTCGACAGCAGTATGATTAGTATGTGAGAGATCTCAATCAAATAAGATCATCAAGGGAGAAAAACTTTACCGTTGAGGTCATCAAGATGAGCCCATCCATGCCTTCAGCGACCAACCATGTGACAGGAAAATGCGTCCATATGCACTCCAGACATCTCCGCTTGAAGTTGAGAGCATCTCCGACCCCGTCCCTGGCCGGCTCGGCGAAGAGATCTGGGCCCGAGCCAAACATGGCCGGTGACAGCGAGCCAAGGGAGGAGCCGGCAGAGGTGATTAGTCGGGGAAGCGCGCGGGAGGCCCAGCCGGCGACCTCGACGGCTACCCCGCAGCCGCACGGTGGGGCCG